ATTGCTGACTAAAGGAAACATTGATAAAATTGCATATGTGAGGAAAGGAAACCGGATAAGCTCATTGATTTCTCATTATCGTTTTTAACTTTTTAAACGTTAGCATTGTTTGCCAGTGCGTGAAGAGACCGTACTCCACATTTTAAAATAAACCTGACCTTGATGATGATGGGGATTGGGGATATAGGAGTGGGGGTTTGTTATTCCCAGGCACTGACAACATTTTGGCTTATTTTGCTTTTTCTTTAGTTCCTTGGTTTAATTCAATTGACTCTTTTTTTAAGAAGTAGTAAGTCATTGATTGTCAATGGTGCAATTATTTTTCCCAGGTCTTCTTCGTACCCTAGGTTATGGTACAACTGCATGTAACAATTGAGTAGTTGGTTCGCATTCGAAGTTAATATGGTTGCCAGTTTCTTCCTCATCATTGCATAACCTACAAATGGGGTGACCTTTGGGTCGGTGTTTTCTCAGATGCCATTGACTGATACGTAAATCTACCCCCTGAGTCTCACTGTAGCAAAGTGTTTGCCAGGTTTGTCAAAGGTTTCTTTAACCTTGGGTTTCCTGTCTCGCTAGAGGTTGTCCATTGCCTTTTTTTTTAATGGACCCATTCTGAAATGGAGATGATCTTATTATCCCAAGTATACAGTCATACGTCTATTTGGTCTTGTTGGTCATCTTCCCCTTCCCAGTTTATTTGCTGTCATTGCCGAAATTCTTTTTTGTGGTATGTCTCCAGTTGATTCGCATTCGAAGATAATATCGACAGGAACTTTCCTACATTACCGACGTGTCCTCAAACCCCTATGGACTTACTGCATCCAGCTCTGGGGCTGTGCCAGCAATTCCATCAAAATAAGAGAAGATGCCATAAAGTTTAATTAATCCACCAACAAAGGCTTAAAGGCCATGTCTTTTAGCAGTCTGCCTTCTACGAAAAAGATAGGGCTCGATGGAAAGAGGAATGAATGAAATTCTATAGGTTGTATACACGGATGAGGAAGGACCGAGAAATAGCAGTAGTCCCTCTTTACTGGAGTGTACAGAAGATCTGAAGGTGAAGAGGAAGAATGGTCATCTGATAGAGAGGAGCCAGGCTTATGGCAGGAAGGGTATAACCAGTTCAAGTCCGTGAACAGCCATCTGAGATCTCCTTGGGAAGGCGAAGATATAGCGTATAAAACAATTCATTAGACGTTTAAGCTAAATTTAAGTGTTTCAGTTAGTTCCCAGTACACATCCCCAACAAAAGTGGTGGAGAACAAGGAGGAAAATCGGAGTGCACAAGCTAGAAATTCATGCGAGAAGGCACGACGGAACTGGTGGAGGGCTTCCTTGAGTTCTGATCAAGGATAATCCCAACGTTCATGTTGGACGGCATCCAAACACAACAGCCTGGGACTTTTACTTAAAGACACTTGAAAAATTATCTATCTCGTCCATTAACTCAAGATTAGTTCATACCCACAACTGGATCGTGTCAAATCGACGTAAGACGACCCCCGAGTCCCCACTTACATCGTGGGTATCTAGCCCATGACATCGTAACGGGATTGACAATTTTATATCGACGTTAATAATTTATCAACACCCGTTAAAAGACCTGTTATTTCATTTTCATTTAAAAAAGTCATCATAATAACTGAATTATCTTTCATGACAGTCGCATGGTGGAATTCGCGAGGAAAAGACTCAAAAACAAAGATGACAATGTAATCTTAAACGATGTAATCTTTAATCTCAGTCGAATTTTTTCAACAACTAAGGACGTTTACAGGCTTCATCCGGATAACGTACGTATTGAACGTATTGCTAACGGACGCGAATGACAGATTTTCAATGGAACGCTGTTTTGGTGACACTAGGTCGAAAAATATTACACACATGTACGAATGTTCCTGCGATTAGCGTAGAGCTAATAAGCTAGTAAGCTAATTTAACTAATACTTTTAACATATAGTTTTCTGCCTTGGTTCTGATATAACGGTAACCAACTCTCTTTTTTTTTTTTCTATTGCTGGCCTTTCTGTACCTCAGAGCCTCGTTAATTGTCAATACGTTAATATAGAGAAACCGAATGACAAGATAAAACATGTTAGTCTGATCAGCATCGACACTACCCTAGAGTACTCGATATTCCTCGGAGTAATTGGTGATAAGCCTCTCCATTCATGCTAATAAATTAAATTTACACACCAGACTTCGTTCACACTACCCCACAGAACTCGATATTGCGCGGAGTAAGTGGGGGATAAACCCCCTCATTTACCCTAATAAATACATACACATTCATTCACACTACCACAAAGTACTCAATATTTCTCGGGGTAGTTGGGGAATAAACCTCTCCATTCCCGCTCATAAAATACATTCACACATTCTTTCATACTTCCAAAAATTACCCAATATTCCTCGGGGTAGTTGAGGAATAAACCTCTCCATTCCCGCTCATAAAATACATTCACACATTCTTTCATACTTCCAAAAAGTACCCAATATTCCTCGGGGTAGTTGAGGAATAAACCTCTCCATTCCCCCTCATAAAATACATTCACACTACCAAAAATACTCGATATTCCTCGAGGTAATTGGGGAATAAACCCCTCTATTCATGCCAATAAATAGCACATATCACATACATAAAGGTACGAAGATATGTATCATTTAAAATATTTATGGCTGTGAGATAATGGATCTGCTGAGGTGCCTCAAGGCCGCGCATAGTAAATGGGATAAGAACGAAGTTAGTGTACCAAAAACCTCTGTCGAAGAGAAATACCAAAACGAAATAAAAACTATTGCAATGACTACAAAAAGAGGCAACATTCGCGTAGGGAAAGAAACGTACAAATATAATAAATTAGGAGGTTAGATCTTACAACAGCACAGAATACAACGAACACAATATGAGAAGTACTTGAAAAAAATGGCATCGAACACACAGGACGAAAAATTAATTACAGATACATAGAACATATTAGACCTCAAACAGAACTTTCACTCAACTTCAACAATACATACAACGATGAAAGATGTACAAAAAGGACGAAAAATGTACGTACTAGAAAATTGGATTGTACAAACACAAACTAATTCTAAAAAACACATAACGACACAAATTAACAATAGTTACGGACCCCCTACGACCTCAAAGAAAAGACTTAACAGAATCCCACGGACACATTGAAGATGACGAAATGCTGAATCGCGGATAACAATCCGAGGTTGATCGTTAAGGAATCAAATTAGACCAAGTGCGTGGCTTGGTGAAAAATTATTATTTTTAATTTACCGTGATTCACATATTTTTGCTACCAAATAAAATTTTGACAAACTGACCCGAATTATCAGAATTATTCTGATTTCCAACGGTAGTATTAACTTTGTATTTATATAAAATCAGGTGGATTTATGAATTTTTAAGTGAAAACACCGAACATCGGGTACAAAAAAAATTACAGACTGATCTAAGTGAAAAATGTTTTTTGTACTTCAGAGCTTTAGAAGGTGCTTAAAAAAATTCGGAATAATTTCTTTAAAATTTTTTTTTGACGGCCTACTTTAGGCGTTTTTTCATAAAAGTAAAAATGTTTGTTGTATTTCAGAGCTTTAGAAGGTGTTTAAAGAGAATCGGAATAATTTCTTTAAAAATTTTTTTGTCGGCCTACTTGAAGAGTTTTTTCATAAAAGTAAAAATGTTTGTTGTATTTCAGAGTTTTAGAAGGTGCTTAAAAAGAATCAGAATAATTTCTTTTAAATTGTTTTTGTCGGCCTACTTGAAGCGTCTTTTCGTAAGGGTAATTTGGTCAAAATACTTGAAGAGTCTCCATATAGGATTTATTGAAACCACCGGACATCGGAGCAAAAAAAAAAAAAAAAATATCTTGCTGATCTAGCTCAAAAATGTTTGTTTGTATTTCAGAGCTTTAGAAGGTGTTTAAAGAGAATCGCAATAATTTGTTAAAAAAATTTTTTGTCGGCCTACTTGAAGCGTTTTTTCATAAAAGTAAAAATGTTTGTTTGTATTTCAGAGCTTTAGAAGGAGTTTAAAGAGAATCGGAATAATTTCTTTAAAAAAATTTTTTGTCGGCCTACTTGAAGAGTTTTTTTCATAAAAGTAAAAATGTTTGTTGTATTTCAGAGTTTTAGAAGGTGCTTAAAAAGAATCAGAATAATTTCTTTTAAATTTTTTTGTCGGCCTACTTGAAGCGTCTTTTCGTAAGGGTAATTTGGTCAAAATACTTGAAAAGTTTGCATACAGAATTTATTGAAACAACCGGACATAGGAGGAAAAAAAACCTGCTGATTTAGCTCAAAAATGTTTGTTAAGTTGCTTAGAAAGAATGGGAATAGTTTCTTAAAAACAATTTATTTTGCCTTCTTAAGATCTTTTCGTAAGTGTAATTTGGTCAAAATACTTGAAAAGTCTGTCTACAGATTTTTATTTATTTGTTATGACTTATGAGGCTATGCCATTATGTTCGACCAAATGAAAAAATTAACCAAAAATAAATTTTTGGCTTAAAAACCAATGAAGTTTCTTTTGCAGTTCTTTTCTTTTTTTTGTAACTTTTTCTTTATATAATCTCATTTAAAACAATCCTACTTATTTATTGATTCTAAGCACTAAAAAAAAGTCGACTGATATATAATATCCGTGAAATGCAAGTATAAAATCAATGTAATTTTTGTCTTGGACCCATTGAAAATGTTTCATTCAGTGATCCACCTTGTAATTTGTCGCATTTAATATTGATTATGTTCTAAGTCTCGTTTTGTTCTTCATATTGTAAAAGACGATTTTACCTAGACAGGTCGCCTCATGTCGAGATGGTGTTTATATATTTAAAATAGTTTTAAATTACGCCGACTCCACACAATTAGAAAGAATGTGGTAAACGTCTCGTTCAGCTGCCCATATCTACCGAGATGATTCAACGGGTTATGACTCACGTGAACAGCATAGCAATCAGGTCTATAAAAGCGAGTAAACTGATTCTCTTATCTAGTTTACTCGATTCTCTCTGCTAGAAATGACCGTTTATTCACTTCCACGCTTTAACAAAACATTATGGCATGTCAAGCGATAAAAACCCATGTTTTCTGGGAAATTTAATGGTAATAATGCCTTTCTGTGTTGGATTTTTTTTTCTCTCTCTCTCTCTCTCTCTCGATCGTTTATATTAAATAACTTTTTATAGATCGTCTCACGTTTTGCGTTACGTGTGAAGAACGTGCAACAACGAGATGAGCCGTCTCGTCAGTGTTTTTTTCTTAATTTTGATCCTTTGTCGGTCCGACGGCGCGGACAACCACCAGGAACAGGACGGATCCCAGCCTTCGAAGACTGAAATCTGCCTCGGATCGACTGAAGAAGAAAGCGTCTGCACAGAGCTGAAGGAAGGGACGATGGACGGCATCGTCTCTTCCTTCAAAAACAAACAGTTCCTGCCTAAGGTAACACTTCACAATCGGTTTTATCACTCAAATCAAGCAAGATCAATAGACAAATAAGTGTAAGTTTTCCTCCGCCGTTTAAGATATTATTTTTTATCGTCGTGATAACAGATAACGTTTTTACCCTTACAAGAGATGACGTACTGATAGTGATAGTTCTACGAATCTGACAGATACGCAGAAAACCCCGGAGCTTTTCTGTAAAAAAATGAGTTTATCTCTTGTTGACTTGTTCAGTTCAGTTTATACATAACTGTCGAATATGTGTAAAAGGTTTGTAGTAAATATCTAAAATACGTATGGATTTATTGTCGTTTATTTATTGACCTTAACAAACGTATTCTCAATTCTGCCATATTTCTTCTGATGGGATCTTGTAAGTCGTCGTTTATATTCATAATATATGATAAGAATGTTGAGCGTAAAAAACTTTTTAGTATGGCAGCCATTCAATTTATTAGAATTTAATACTGAAGGAACTCATAGGAAAAACCTAATAGTTTACCTATACGACAAAAATTGGTAATTAAATTACCTTAAACTATGCAGGATATAAATTTTTCATACTTATCTCCACTGCACACCGAAGCAAAATTTTTTCTCTTTATTATCAACGAGTATGGGTTGCATCATTGATTTACAATCTAGCCAGAAGATTAAGGATTAAAAATTTGAGTTTGTTGGCTACTTTAGTTTCCAAACAACCTTTCCGCTACAAATTAACGTTCTTCAACAACAAGTTAACTTCAAATTAACCCCTTTTTAATTCCAAATCGGCCCTTTTTTATTTAAAATTGATTTTTTGAAACATCAAAAACGGGATGAAATGTTAGTACGCAAAATAAAATTTCTGTGTTTGAAACAAGTGAAAACAAACCTAAAATAATTGGCCTCTTAGAAAACAATATAAAATTTAAATAAAATTACTAATTTTATACAAAAGTATAAAAATATAGGCTTTTTTATTAATTTGATAAAAAATAAATAGGCTTTTATAGACCACAGGAAAATTAATTACAATTAAAATTAAATTTTTTACAAAAGTTAATGTTAAAGGACTCATCTTTTATATAATGGTTAAAAAATTTCTTAAACAAACTAAAACATAATCGAGCCAGAAGATTAAGGATTAAAACTTTAAGTTTTCTGGCTACTTTAGTCGCCAAACAACCTTTTTCGCCACAAATTAACGTACTTTAACTCCAAGTTAACCCATTTTAACATCAAATTAACCCCTTTTTAATTTCAAATCGGCCCTTTTTTATTTAAAATTGATTCTTTAAAACATCAAAAATGGGATGAAATGTTAGTACGCAAAATAAAATTTCTGTGCTTGAAAAAAGTGAAAAAAACATAAAATAATTGGACACTTAGAAAACAATATCAAATTTAAGTAAAATTACAAATTTTATGCAAAAGTATAAAAATATAGGGTCCTTTTATTAATTTGATAAAAATAAATCGGATTTTATAGACCACAGGAAAATTGATTACAATTAAAATTAAAATTTGTACAAAAGTTAAACGATTCTTCTTTTATATAATGGTTAAAAATTAAAAAAAAACACTAAAATATATAGGTACATAATTTATTAGCTTTTTCCTCAAAGTAACCCTTTTCCCATTCAAATTAACCTTCCTTTAAAGCATTACAAAAACTTAGGAGATGGTATGAAATGTAAGGGTGCAAAGAAAAATTCCTTTAGGATAGCGATTTTTTGAAAATATAAAATAATTGTGCTCTTCAAAGACAAAATTAAAATTAGTTACAAATAAAATTGAAAAATATATAAAAAATTAATATAAAATCAAATGATTCTAATATAAATTATAAAGAATAAAATATAAAAATTATAATTTTTCTTGCAATATCAGATTTAAAAAATTAATTATATACATATATATCAAATTAAAATCATATGAAAATTAATTATAGAGTGCCGGTGTTTTTGAAAAAAAAAGCTCCATTAAACAAGTCGAGTTCGATTGCAGGGCCGCTGGATTCGAACCCGGGACCTTTACCTTACAGTGATGGGCTCCGTCTCATCGTCTAAACCGTTGCGGCCAACGACGCGCCCGAAAATTAATTACAATTAAAATTAAATATTATAAAAGTTAAAATATCAAAATGATGCTTCTTTTAATTTGAAAGTGAAAAATTGTGGGTTTTGTTTAAAAAAAGGTTTAGTTTGATATTAAAAAGGGGTAATTTGAAAGTGCAAAAGGTTCATTTGCAATTAATTATTTTGATTGCGAAAGAAGGTTAATTGGAAATAAAATAAAGGATATTTTAAGTTAAAAAGGGTTAATTGTAAGTTGAAAAGAGTTAATTTGAATGTGCAAAACATTCATTTGAAATTAATTAGTGGGATTGCGAAAAACAGTTAATAGGAAAAGACTTAATTTTAAGTTAAAAAGAGTTAATTTGAAGTGAAAAAAGTCTATTTGAAAGTTAGTTCAATGCGTTAATTTGAAATTAATTAGTTTGATTGCGAAAGACAGTTAATTTGAAATGAAAAACAGTTAAATGTTAGTTAAAAATTGTTAAATTGAAGTTAAATAACGTTGATTTGGAACTAAAAAATATTATTTTGAAGTTGCGAAGGTTAATTTGGTGCAAAAAATGATTAATTTAAAGTTAAAAAGAGTTAATTTGAAATTAAAAAGGGTTAGTTTAAAGTAAAAAAAGGTAAATCTGAAAGAAAACAAGTTTATTGTGAAGTTAAAAAAGTTAAAGTTCGTGCAAAAAAATGGTTAATTTGAATATGTAAAATGTTAATTTGAAATTAATGCAAAAGAAGGTTAATTAGAAATGAAAAAGAGTTAATTTTGTGGAAAGAAGTGTTAATTGGAAGTTAATCAAGGTTAATTTGAAAATAAACAAGATTATTGTGAAGTTAAAAAAAGGTCATGTTGGTCCAAAAAAGGGTGAATGTAATGTGATTATATAAAAGGTTAATTTGAAATTAAACCAAAAAGAGGGTTCATTAGAAAAGAAAAATGGTTAATTGGAAGTTAAACAAGTTTAATTTGTAACTGAACAAGTTTATTGTGAAGTTTAAACGGATTAATTTGAAATTAAACCAAAAAGAGGGTTAATTAGAAATGGAAAAGTGTTAATTTTGTGCGAAAAGGTTAATTGGAAGTTAAACCAGGTTAATTTGTAACTGAACAAGATTATTGTGAAGTTTAAATGGATTAATTTGATGCAAAACAAAAGAGTCATTTGAAATTAAAAAGGCTTAATTTACATTTAAAAATGCCATTTTGAAAGTAAGCAAGATTATTGCGAAGTTAGAAAAAGTTCGATCAAGAAACGGATTAATTTAAATGTGTAAAAGGTTAATTTTAAGCCATTGTTTTAGTGGTCAATTGACCAAGTTACTTCTTTCAATTAATTATTCTTTCTGTGTAAGTTCTTGTTTGAGATAAAATTAATTAATAGTTAATAATAATTAACTAATTTTAAAGTTGTTAGTTTGATTGCGAAAGAGGGTTAATTTGGTACAAAGAAGGGTTGATTGGTAGTTAAAAATAAGTTAATTTGATATTAAACAAGGTTATTGTTAGACTGAAAAGAGTTAATTTCAAAATAAAAAGGGGAAACATCTATTTTGTCAGGAATAGATTAAAAAAATTGAAATTGAACTTTTGTTAATCCTATCTATGATTTATAAAATCACGCGGTTAAAGCTTGTACCTATTAAGTTTCCATTATTGTATATATTACTCCCCCATTTTCCCCTTTTATGGGGGAAAATGTTTATTTTTGTTCTTGATGTTTTGTTTTTACCTGCAACAAGTAGTTTAAAAAATAGAGTAAAAGTACAAAATCATTGTTTTCTTTAAATTATTAAAACTAATTTTATTGATCCAGCCGATATAAAGTTTAAAATTATACAAATTCAGTTGAAAGACATCACTTCAGAAAACCATGATTCACTTTAGCCCTCCAAAATGAAAGAAAGCCATCCAATAAACCAAATATAAACAACCAATCGGTAAAATTAGGGCAAAGACAATTGTATGAAACCTTCATCGAGGTAAATTTATAGTATGTTTCGTATGTACCATTAAGTTTATAAAACTCAGACATTTTATACAAATCCCGCTTTTATGATCTTAGTTTTTCTCTACGTTTCAGGACTCAAATTCAGAAAAGGATGTAAATGTTTCGTCTTCAGCCACTTTACCGACCACCCTGGGTTTAGACAACGCAACCGAAACGGTGAGATTTATTTCAACGACCTTACTGTTATAATTGTTCTACCTTTCACTATTCGTTTTTTACTATTTGTGTCCTGCCAAAATTGTGTTTTTAAAAAACTGGCGTCGTAACTTTTCAAGAAATTTTTGCCTTTTTACGTTTTCTTCTAAATTTTCTTATAGTTCCTTCTTATTCTGAAATTAACTTCTAACGACATACCATAGTGTTTTTTTTGTTCTTTTGTCCTACCTTACTCCAACCTTGTATGTTTTGTGGAGATCGTGAGATGCGGCCTGGTGTGACGTAGGTTTTTAGAAAACATTTTCTTTATCGTGCCAACGTTTCGATCTTTATTGAGATCGATGTTTGGGATTTACAAACATTGTTTAAATTTAACAAATATGTGTAGGATGTGAAAAAAAAAGAATTTACACAATGCAAAAAATTTTTTTAAATATTCAATCAAAGTATTTGTACTCACTCAAAGTGTTTGTTTTCTGGTAGATGTGTCATTATTGCGAGTCGTGTTGAGAGTGCCAGTGAGATAATGATGTTTTATGTTTATATTGAAGGGGCAGGGAAGGAAATCGGGAATAGAAAGACATTTTTATAGAGGAGTCGGCTTCTTTGAGGTGAAAGGAGCCGACAATGGGAAAAACGTTGGTAATGGTTCAGATTATTCTTTCAGGATTATATAGACGGGGATAATTAAGGAAAGGGAAGCCAAATTGTTGAAGAATTAGATTATGTAGAAATGTTTGATGTATGGAATGTGATGATTGTTTTGTATGTTATATTATGTTTTGTGTGATGTGATGTTGATATATGTATATTATCGATATTGCATTTGATTAATGATATTGGCGTAGCTGCGACTGAGTTTACATTTGTCTGTTCTGTAATTGATTCTGTGTTTATCTCTGTTGATGTAAACCATTTCTAAAAAGTTACGTTTATGCTTGTTTTGTTCTGTGTGTAATATTTTTGGATTGTTGAAGTCGAAATTGTGTTGGTGTTCAAAATGGTGGATAGCCAGTGCTGTAGGATTTTGTTTGGGTTTTTTGCAATCATAGATATGTTGCTTTGCTCTCTTATCCAGATATTGGGATGTAATACGGTTGTAAGTTGCCGGACAATTTAAACAATTGATTTTGTAAATTACGTCAGATTTAATTGTTACTGGTGCGGGATCTTTAATTTTGTGAAAAAAAGTGTGTGAATTGTTTTATAGTTTTTGAAAGCTATTTTAAAGTTGTCAGAAGAGCGAAATATGTTTAATTTATATGATAGGCCGTAAATGTAAATGTATGTTGGTTTCTATGTATTCTATGGCCATGATGTAGTATTATTAGTAATAGTGGATGGTGTTAGTGTTGAATTGTAGTTGTTGATTATGTGATGGGTTATGGAGGATATGTTTGTGTATCTTTATGTTCTTGTGGTGAAATGTTTCATGGCTTAGGGTAATAATTTTGTGAAGTAGCCCTTTGGCCGTGTTTATTATTGTATGAAGAGGATGGTGTGATGTAAAGTGGAGGTAGAGATCTGGGTTTCTTGGTTTTTGATACCAATCTGTGATTAATGTGATCTGGTTCTTTTATTACGAGTCTATGTAAAAATGGTATTTTTTTGTTGTTTTCGATTTCATGTATTCAAATTGTAGGCGTGGGTGAAAGCTATTAAATGTATCTAATGTAGTTTGAATTTGATCTGTGAGAACTGCTGTCAATATATCATCTAGTTATTTAGTGAAGAAGGGTAATGTGAAAGGAAGTTGTGCTATAATTGCGTTTAATAGATATGCCATAATTATGTATGCAAGTATCCGGCCTAGGTTGCTAGCCAAGATTTCTATATTGAGTACATCATTGTATAACTTCATAGTTGTATTTTTGTATGTAATGTAATATGTATTTAATTTAAACAGTGTTTATAAATCCCAAGCCCTGAAGATGATCTCAATAAAGATCGAAACGTTGGCACGATAAAGAGAAGGTTTTACTAAAACCTTCGTCACACCAGACTGCATCTCACGATCTCCACATAATCATTAACTAACGGTCACTAAACACCACACACTTTTGTGTTTTAGTGCACCCTCATTTCATTTACTTTCAGTGACTCTTTTGGGTTAATAATTATTAACACTCCCATTCTGTCATTACGCTTCATTTTTTACCCTCCATGCTGTCGTTCATTGATTGGGAAACACAGCGAAAAGCTTAAAGAAGGCGGTTGGAGGTAACTAATAACCTTTTTGTACTCTTTTCTGCCCCAATATTTTTCAAAGGGAAAATCGAAATGATTTTGTCCGGTATGAAAGTTGCAGGTAAAGGTGTACTTTTAGTAATAGGATGCTTTTGGTAAAAGAGAAAAATAGTTACTACTACAATATTCAAGCGATTATTGATATTAAAAATACTTCAAGCCAAACGTTTCTTTTTTTCCATTATATTTCAGGTCCGATTGACCAAATAACTTCTTTAAATTCATTAATCTTTATGTAAGGTATTGGTTGAAATGAAAAAGCTAGTGTCACGAGCGGGATTCGAATCCACGACCTTCGGCTCAATACGCCGCTGCTCTAACCACTTGAGATATCGTGACTTCGAACCACTCGGACACCAACTTCCCACCTCATTTAGCCGAAGGTCGTGGGTTCGAATCCCGCTCGTGACACTGGCTTTTTTATATCAGCAAATACGTTACATAAAGATTAATTAATTGAAAGACCACGAAACCTAATGGATTTAATAAGTTAAATGAAGTATATCTTCTCTAAAGCTCTCCGTCACGATAGCTCAAGTGGTAGAGCATCGGCATATTTAGCTGAAGGTCGTGGGTTCGAATCCCGCTCGTGACACTAGCTTTTTCATTTCAACCAATACTTTACATAAAGTTTAATTAGTTTTTTTTTTATTGACACAGTTTGAGGTTTCGGAGTCAACAGGTCGCCGAAATGATACATGCACATTTTGGCCGCCATTATCAATATAAACGTTTATTTCCACAAAAAACAAACACAATGTGCGAAAGAGTTCATTACACGCTTACATTAATCGCTCCCATTGCTAGTCTGCATCCAATAAAAACTATTCATGCTGATCAGTATTCTGCTATAAATTAAAAAAAACTAAAAGAATATTTAAAAAAAAATGCACATACAATTAATATTTACTCGTATAGATTCCTCAATTCTAACGGCCTAAAAGGACGCTAAAATCAAATCTTATTAAACAGAATACGTTGCAAAAATAACAGCAGCAGTATGAGAAATGGTCTTCATTACATACTCTTCAAAGAGTATGAATTTAATAAAAATTAGCTAGACTACATAGAGAATGACAATAAATTGAATAGGAACAAATTACACAAAATTAGGCCCATTTCGTATAATAAGAAAAGTATCAAATTCAAACTGTGAAGTCGATTGTGGGAGAAGATGTCAAGAAGCAACATTATTTCATATTAATGAACCTTTTTATGTAAGGTATTGGTTCAAATGAAAACACTAGTGTGACGAGCGGGATTCGAACCAACGACCTTCGGCTCAATGCGAGGCCGCATAACACGATAGCTCAAGTGGTTAGAGCAGCGGCGTATTTAGCTGAAGGTCGTGAGTTCGAATCCCGCTCGTGACACTAACTTTTTCATTTCAACCAATACCTTACATAAAAAGAATAATTAATTGAAAGAAGTTATTTGATCAATCGGACGACGAAATGTAATGGATTATTTCATATTTATAAAAAAAATTCCATTTAGATAAATTAATACTAGCTCCCTGTTTTGGTTGAAAATATGCAAATATGTTTTTATTATAAACTATAAATTTCAAGTAAATTTGTAATAGTATGTTTCGGAGGGTTGTGGTAGTTATTAGTTTAGCTTTAGCATATTTCGAAACATAGTAAAGACAAACTTAATTTGTATATGGACTTTTAAAAGACGAATTATTTTATATTTGATTTTTTTTTCGAAGGCTGGAATTTTATTTTACGCGCTTACATTTCATACTATTTCCTAGGATTTTTTGATATTTTAAATAACATGAGGTTAATTTGAAAGAGAAACGGTTAATTTGAAATTAAAAAGGGTTCATTTGATGGAAAAACGTTTAATTCGAAAATAAGAAGGGTTAATTTAAACTTAAAATGATTTAATTGGAATGGAAAAATGTTTAATTTGAAAATAACAAGGGTCAATTTAAACTTAAATGGTTTAATTTGAATGAAATTAACGCACTTGAATTTGAATGTGAAATGTACATTAAAAATTGGATTATTTAAAGTAAAAAACGTTTAATTTGAGAATAAAAAAAGGTTAATTTGAAGTTAAAAAGGGTTCATTTGATGGAAAAACGTTTAATTCGAAAATAAGAAGGGTTAATTTAAACTTAAAATGATTTAATTGGAATGGAAAAATATTTAATTTGAAAATAACAAGGGTNTAATCCTGTAAACGTAAACAGAATATTTTATATAGATTTTTTTTAATGAAAACTTAAAATCCTGCATTATTTTCCGGACAACCCAATAATAATAGGTTTGGTTGTAAATATACTACATTTAAAAATAAAATGTTTATTACCTATTTCTATAAAAACAATTATTGAGTACAGAATTTTAAAAAAAATTAAAAAACAAATCAAAATGTAAAAACAACTTTTTTGTCCCCTTTCATTCCGAGTATTTACTCCAACATAATGTTTATTACTGAACGCTAAAAAAATATAATATTGAGTAAAGAACAAAATAAATAAACAATCAAAATGTAAAAAAAGTTTTTGTCCCCTTTAATTACGAGTATTTACATCTCTGGCACGAATTACGTCCGTTAAACGCCTTCGCAATCCTTGGAAAAGATGTCTGGTAAAACGTGAGGAATTCTTTCTCGTTCATAAAGAACAACTGTTTCCATCTCTTGTAGGGTGTTAGGACCTAGGTTTCGCGTACACGTCGCATAAGTTGGTCCAAAATGTGTCCGATTGGGTTCAAATCTGGACTTCGAGCTGGCCACACCAAGCCCTCAACCCCAACCTCATTCAGGTAGTCAACCATAATGGGTGCTCTATGGGGCTTAGCATTACCCTGCATTTACCGACATAGGGGCAAATGCCTCTATGTTCTTCGATTATGTCTTGTAAGTACCTCTGTGAAGTTAGAGAACTTCTTTGCACAAGAAATTCGGTGCGGGCGTCCAAGGAAAAGCGACCCCCAGAACATCAACGACCCACCTTGGAATGCCTCCTGAGAAGTCATACAGCATGGGGCGCACCTATCTTCTAAGCATCTCCATATGAAATTACGCCCATCTGGCTATTTGAGGCTAACTCTCACCTCATCTGTAAAGAGAATTCGTCCCCAATCTTCAATGTCCAATTCACATGTTCCCATGAGAATTGAAGCCTGGTCGTTTATTGAGCCTTGGTAAGAAGGGGTCTACGAGCCGTGTACCGTGCCCTGAGGTTATTTTCATTGAGCTTTCTTCTTACAGTCCTGGAGGAAATCGAAACATTTCGGACTTGTCTTATAAGATTTCTTATCTCATTTCCCGTAATTCTTCAGTTTTGTAGAGCCTGATGAAGAATGAATCTATCGTCTCTCTTGTCTGTAGTCCTTGGTCGACCCTGCCCCTGGCCTTCTAGTGTGAAGCACTGTTTCTCTGAAGCGCCGAAGAACTCTGCCCATTGTGGAGTGATTTAACGCCTGGTGACTTCGTTTTGGCTGTGTACTTCCACTAATGTTATGACCCTGACATACTCAAATACCTGGCTGGAGCAATTGAAAAATGTTTAAGAATTAGAGTAATATAAAATGAAATCAACAAAAGAAAAAGATTAACAGAAAGCGTTCTTTAGCCGTAGCAAATGGAAGGGCATAATTCCAAATTTTATGAAAATGTGATTAATCAGTACAAAAGCAATCAAAACAAGAAAACAAAGCATTATGTACAGTTTATTTTGACGATAGCTCCTAATTACCTGTAATAGTTATATTTTTAAACTAAATAAATTGACTGGTGCGTTAAATTTGTCCATCAGTGGATATCAAGAACAAGATGGGACCAAGGATAGAGCCTTGAGGAACACCAGCAATAATGTTGTTCCGTTTGGAAATAAGGATTTTTCAACATCTTCAAACGATTTTTATAAGTCGATAAAAGCCAGTTGCCTGACATTAATCGTAGAGGTATTTTCTTAAAATATATCAAGAAAAAGATGGGACAAAGGATGGAGCTTTGAAGAACATCAGGAATAATGTCGTTCCATTGGGAAATGAGGATATTTTCAACATCTTCAAACGCTTTTTATAAGTCGATAAAAACCAGTTGCCTGACATTAAATGGTAGAGGTATTGTGTTAAAATATATTAAGAAAAAGATGGGACAAAGGATGGAGCTTTGAAGAACATCAGGAATAATGTCGTTCCATTGGGAAATGAGGATTTTTTCAACATCTTTAAACGCTTTTTATAAGTCGATAAAAACCAGTTGCCTGACATTAAATGGTAGAGGTATTGTGTTAAAATATATCAAGAAAAAGATGGGACAAAGGATGGAGCCTTGAAGAACATCAGGAATAATGTCGTTCCATTGGGAAATGAGGATTTTGTCAACATCTTCAAACACTTTTTATAAGTCGATAAAAACCAGTTGTCTGACATTAAATGGTAGAGGTATTGTGTTAAAATATATCAAGAAAAAGATGGGACAAAGGATGGAGCCTTGAAGAACACCAGCAATAATGTTGTTCTGTTTGGAAATAAGGATTTTTTCAACATCTTCAAACGCTTTTTATAAGTCGATAAAAACCAGTTGCCTGACATTAATCGTAGAGGTATTTTCTTAAAATATATCAAGAAAAAGATGGGACAAAGGATGGAGCCTTGAAGAACACCAGCAATAATGTTGTTCTGTTTGGAAATAAGGATTTTTTCAACATTATCAAACGCTTTTTATAAGTCGATAAAAACCAGTTGCCTGACATTAAAGGATTAAAACATTTACCCCGGCTACCCCAGAGGAAGCCCTGTGTTGATTGGCTTCGCAAGTCCGCACAAAAGTTAACTTTAACATGCCGATTATTTTATTGTTTCGTTTCTCTTCGTGACTTAAACCGTTTATTTCTGTTTACAGATGAATTTTACTGTTGGATCTTCGACAGATGTACCCAGTACGACGCAGCAGTATGAACAGAACCTTGAAACTGACAGCACGAATTCATCTGCTACCGAGTAACTTGGACGCTTAAGTCTAATCATGAGTGCGTTGTGAAATCTTATTAAAAAAAAACGTTTAACGTTAAAACCGTTTAATATATTTATATTTAATTACTTTATATATGTTCCTGACTATTGTAGCATTATTTTAATTATTTAATTAATATAATAAATACACTGATGTTTAAGTTAGGTCATTTAATCCAGTATCCTTTCATTTGAAATTACTGACGACATTCGAAGTTTTCTCTGTAGATAATTTGCATCATTTTTGTAATGTTTTGCATATTAGCCAAAGTGCGAACAATCAGAATAAAGTGTTGAGGTCAGAAATTCCATTTTGGACGGTGGGAATCGAACCCACGACCGCTTACTTTTTTCTTCTTCTTTTTCAAAATATTCCAGTTGGCTAAGGAGAAAATAATTGTAAAAAAAATTGAAAAAGTGAAAATAAAGGGACTTACTTTAGCGGACTGCACGGTTGAGGAAGAAATACTTGATCGTTTTTCCAGTCGGCTTGCGGACGTTTTGTACCGTTTCAGAATGGATGGAATAATTACGACCACACGAAGGATTTTATTGGTCGGAATTACTCAACTGCTTAACACCATAAAATCAAATATTCGCCTTATCAAACCTGAGTCAGAATGGGGAATTCTGCGAAATGGAAAATGAAAAATACTGGTTTTAGTGGGATTAATTATTCTACAATACGATCGTTAAGATTACGACATTATGGACATTTTCTTCGAACTCCGTCCGGTTATCCTATACATTGCAGCCAATCCTTTCTTTCCTACTTTCCTTGAAAGGATAAGGTAAAACGTTATAATGCGAGAATAAAAAAAATTAAAATGTTCAAAAGCTATTTATTTCACAAAACTTTATCCAATACACATATAGTACTTAGTAAATCAACACCAGTAAAAATAACATTAATACTTATATGTATGTCGTCTTTTTGGTTTTGGACCAACTCTGAATCCGAAGATAGGAAAACAAGGTACCAGAGGTTTTTTGTGATCGGACTTGACTACGTAAGATAATCTATTGATCAGGCACATTTTTTTTACAATAAATGATTTCCAAATATTCAATACAAAACCATATCAAAACAAAATAGAAACAAAAGAAAATTCTTTATTTACTAAAATTTTAATTATAAAAACCAAAGAAATAATTTGAAAATTTAAAATCTTTCATATCGAGAATTTTTTATATAATGAACAAGGAGTTAAATTTGAGAAACTTTTTATTACAATTTATTTCAAAATAAAATTAAAATTTCTTTTTATTATTTTTTTTAAATTTAAAGAATCTTTTTATATGTTATATTACAACCTACTTTAAATATCCACAAAATTTATCAATTTTCAAATATAACAACATCAACAACAAAAATATCGAGTACACCACAGACCCACCAAACTAGGATAGATATCTCTTTGTGTGCTTTGGGTAGAATGAATGTATTTATTGGCGCGAAAGTGAGTGTGTATGGGTGGGTTGTTCAGGAATATCGAGTACTCCACAGACCCACCGATTTAGGTTAGTATTAGGCTATAATATCTTTTAGAGTGAATGGGCGGAGGCACTGTGGTAATATTAAATGCGCCAATGGTTCAGCATTTTTTTAATTTGTAAATACAGAATGATCGGTTGAGTGGATGTATTTATTAGTGCGATAGTGTATGCATGGGTGGGTCTATGGTGGAATATTAAGTACCCCATAAACCCACCAGCCTAGGTTAATATTTTAGACTAATTGTAATTTTATTTGTACATTATGTATGGATGTATTTATTAGCGTGTACGAGGGCGGATCTTCAGAGGAATATCGAGTACTCTGAAACCCGCATACAGACTAGGCTAGGATTGAATGTCAGTGAATGAGATAGATTCAGAGCCTTTTCACCCCGTGTGGGAGGGCTAAAAATGTAGAAATGACGGCACAGAACACAACCAGAAAGATCGCCATACTTCCTACAGAAAAGCTAAGTTAAAAAAAATAAAAATAATAATAAATAAAAATATATAAATTTTTAAAACGTGAGGTGGAAGAAATGTGAGGTGCTGCCAATAGCCCAGGAGCTAGCCGGCCGGAAAAAAAATTCTTTATTTACTAAAATTTTATTTATAAAAACCAAAGAAATAATTTGAAAATCTAAAATCTTTTATGTCGAGACCTATTTAAATGTAAAATTAATTTTGTTTCTTCTAATTTAATTTATTCGTTATAATGAACAAAAAGTAAAATTTAAGAATCTTTTTATTACAATTTAGTTCAAAATAAAATTACAATTTTTTACTATTATTTATTTATTTTTATAATTTAAAGTCTTTTTATATTTTATAATACAACCTATTTTAAAAATCTACAAAATTGGTCAATTTTAAAATTTAATTAAATTCATTTGATAAAGAACAGTAAAATTACAAATTTTTTAACGACCTATTTCAAAATAAAATTAAACTTTTATTACAACTGTTAAAATCAAATGTTATTTATTTTATTTTTCTTTATAAAAATAGGTTTTTAGTTGCAACCTCTTTTAAACTAAAATACTACAATTTGTTTTATTGTTTTTATTTGACGTCGAAATTTAAAACTGATTCACTTGATTTGTGTACACACCTATTATTATTATTATTGTTATTATTATTATTTTTTATTTTTTTTTTATTTTTTTTTTTTACAGAATACCTTACCCAATGGAGGAGAGAAAGGGAAATGCCATTTCCTTGTCCTTACTCTTTTGATCACTGCTACATGCGTGTGGAGTGGGAGGCGGTACATTTAAAACTAAACGTGACATATGTTTATCGGTCATAATTAATAAGACTTTTATCCAAAGTCTTGGTTGAGATGGAAAAGTTAAAGTGTCACGATCGGGATTCTAACCAACGACCTTCGGTTCAATACGCCGCTGCTCAAGTGGTAGAGCAACATTTTCATCTCAACCAAGACTTTAGATAAAAGAATAATTCATTGAAATAAGTAAAAATAACATAAGAACAAACCGTACCACAAATATAACTTCAGTCTGGTCATCCTATCCAATCCAGCGAATACAACCTTACCTTAACCAATATTTACCTAAAAAAAAATTAACGATTAAATTTACGGTAAACCTCAAAAAATTCTCTACTGTTTATTTGGGCTGGAACAATAATTTTTGTAAATATACTTAAATCTACTATGCACAATACACCAATACTGTCGCTGTGAACAGGTGAAGAGGCCGGCTCCCACATTGTCTATATAAACTAANTAATCATCGGCCACTAGGAACAACAATGGCCCTAGCCATTTCCCCTCGTATTTACTGGTTACACATGTATGAATAATATTATGTGTTAAATAACTCATGCTCAAACTAAAATATAATCACTTTCCTGTTGCCTTATACAGTGCAGTCAATACACCTACACGATTAACCGATTGAACACCTATACTATAATATGTGTACCTGTGATGATTTGATGAGTCGAAAATACGATCCTTTAAAACAGAAGAAACCTTCAAATAATAAAAATACGTGTCTTAAAAACACTGAACTCTACTGTATCCTAGCATCTTGCCATAAAAGAGGATACATCTCAAAATGGATCCTTAATGAGTCCAAAATCTGGAGGAACAAAACCACAGGCATGAGGCATGCGAAGGGATTCATAGCAGGACCATCCGCAACCGATTCTGTTGGACTCCTAACAGGGCACTGCCACTTAAGAAGGCACATGCACCGGGTAGGAGTACAGGCAGAAGAAACCCTGCCAGGAAGAGGAGGAGACCGAAGAACACATTTTGTGTTTTTGTGAAGGTCTATGTAGGTGCAGGTTCTTCCAACTAGGACAGGAAGACCCACAAGCAAGACCCTACGCTAAGCAGTTGCTAGGAAGGCTATGTAGGCTGATTAACAACCCGAATCATAAAAAATAGGGGAGCACAATAGTTGTACTCTGGTCGAGGTGCAGCATGCCTTGTGGTCGCCTCTTTTATCCCTGCCCCTATACACGAAAGGTTCGAAAAGTATATTTTGGAAGGTAACATTTATACTTTTTTTGTGACCTTCATGTTTCTCAGATGGCCAACTTTTATTGCTTAACCCTTTCAACCCTCAATTATTACAATTTGCAAACATTGTTTTAACACTTGTTAGAGGGTCTAAATTTTTTTAGATTTTAGTGACCTACTTACCCTACTTACAACTACTTTCACTAAGGTTACCCTGAGATAATAATTAAATTTTTTTCAGTTAAAACGAAATGTTTTCCAACAAAATATTAACAATTTATCTGAAATAATGCACGCCCCTTATTATTTGATTATGAAGCTTTTTCTCTGCTCAAGTCAATTATTTTTGGGAAAGCGAGAATCCGTAAAATACGGGGTTATTAAGAGGAAAATCGGTTTAAGAACTAATTTTCCCGGATGGGAGCACCTTCTAAGAGCCCTGAGTCCCGTCCCATTAAGTCCAGTTTTGGATTTACACTAGGCCTTATTTAATAATTACACCCAATCCTTCAGTTGAATATTGTATATGTAGAACTTTTAGCCAAATAATAATGGGAAGTACAACTTTTTTCTCATTAAATTCACCCTTTTTGTAAGCGTTAAAAAAACTCAGGGGATGGAAATAAGTTGGGAAATAATAATATAAAAAATGGAAAGAAATAATAAGGCTACCAACGCTCCTTCGGTAATTACAATTAAAAGTAAAAGTTTAAATAAATACACATTTTTTTAAATATAAAATGATTATTTTATAGATAAATTATTTAATATTTAAAAAATCCTGAAGCAAGAAGAGACTCGTAAGCTTGACATTTTTCTTTTGTGGTTTCAAGCATAATAACATAATACATCTAGAAATATAACATCCGTCCGGTTATCCTATACAATGCAGCTATTACACTTACCTATTACATCTAAATTTGCCCGTTTTAAGCATAAGAACATAGTACATAACGAATATAACCTCCGTTTATAAATTTACCTGTTTGAAGCATAATGAAATTAATCCGTACTACATCATAAATATAACCTCCATCCAGTTTTCCTATACAACGCAGCTATTACACTTACCTATTACACATAAATTTGCCCATTTTAAGCACAAGAACATTAAATTGAATTTATAGTGGACAGTCGCTGACTAACCTTTGTAAGGTAAAGACGTGTACTCGGAGTTCCAAGGGATTATAGATCCGCCGCATCGATAAGTACAAGCCGTGTCGATCGACAATTCACTTATTTAACTATCCTTTATTTTTCGTTTTTGGTTTGGTTTTTTATTTTTTTATTTTATTTTTAAAAAAATGGTAAAATGATTTAGTTGATCATTATAATTTCTTTTGTGTCATCAGTCTCCGATTATTTTGTTTTATGTCTCTAACCCCTCGTCTCTTGTAAATACTTCCCCTATTGTAAATAAGTATTTTAATAAGCTTAGATCTAGTAAATAACATTTCTGTTCTTTTTGTTTCCTTATTTGTACAAACTCGTTCCTTGTACCGTGTCCTACCGAAGTGAAACGTCAGGTCGGAACATAGTGCAGGAAAAGACCCGCCCGTGCCACTGACAAACAATACAAGTATCGTTGAATTTGATGGTACTCCATCAATTAATAACCCTAAAAGACCTCTTTCCTCCTCATCAGACGAATGAGAAAATATAAAAACAAAAAAAAAATACCCCAGGGCATAGCGGACACTACCCCACTATTCCTGGTGATCCGCCCAGCGAGTCTACATGAAACATTGACCAAAATTTCACCCTTCGTGGTCAACCGTTGCATCGTTTCTGCTGCCGGCACCCCAAAAACCATAAAAAAACTTCGAAATGGAACATCGAATGCAGCGACATTAGACAAAGCCTACGCCTATTTACCCTAACAAAACTTCACACAACCCCGGTAATCGTTGAAGGACACAAATCCTTAAACTCCTCTAAGGGAGTCATCTTTTCCCATGAACTCAGTGAGATATACTTATACGCTAATATACTTAACTATTTAACCTAAATTTACTATAATAATTTCCACCATGTCCTTTATATATTTAAATAATATAATTCTTTTCAATCATATCTTTATTTGGGATACTTCTCTTAAAAAAAAAACCAACAATTTTTTGGGTATATTGCCCTCATGTTAATTAAATTGTAAAATCTTTATTCGATTACCAGTGACTTTATCTTACTTGCTAAATTGAGCATTATAAAAAAAAAACAATATAATTTAACTAAAAGAGGTCGTGTTTATTCACTATTTTAAGACGACCCGAATAAGAAGAGATGCTGGTCGTAAAACGGTTTAAGTCCACCGTCGCTGAGAAGTTTACTTAAAATGAGAACCACTTTGCTTCTTTGATTAGGGGACTTGAATAAAGTTAACGAAAAGTTCAGATAAGCTTTTGTTGTTAGAAGACATCAAGAGGAAGGAGGAAATTGGCTAAATATCATTGTCTATAATTGGAGTGATAAAACGCCGTTTTGATAACACACACTTCGGAAATTCATCTAGCATAATTAAATTTAAAATTGTAATAAAATCTAATCGATGTTTTCTAAACAGTATGAGGTATGAATGAAACAATAAAGTAATAGACTAAGTCCCTTGATGGTAAATTAAAAGGACCACATGAATCCATAGGGATGCAGTTTCAATACGATGGAATTCTCCTAGATAATGCCCGGATAATCAGGGTGAGATTAGAACTTATCATGAAAAAATGATCCGTAGAAAAGCCTCGCCTCCACGCTGAAGGCGGAAGGAAACCATTTTTCGATTATAACCTTGATATTAATTTTTATCTTATAATTCTAATTTCCTTGACCCCTCCACAATGTCAAGATAAATTGATTTATTTCTGGCCATTTCTATCGCGGTTAGGATTTAATCGTGAAAGATAGGAAGTCAATAATTGATTGGAAATTTGGAGAAAAAATTGGAAATTAATTGCAGAGGGCACCAAAGTAAGAAGGAAAAGATTCCTAAATTTGACCAACAATTTGAACAATTACAATTAATTAAGGTTTTTAGTTGAGATGAAAAAAAGTTATTGGCACGAGAGGGATTCGAACCCACGACCTTCGGCTAGATACGCCGCTGCTCTACCACCTGAGCTATCGTGACCTCGATCCGCTCGGACATCAACTCCCCATCTCAACCCCACCTTATGAGTTTTCCCTCCTTTTGCCATTTTTCAAATGTCGTGTAATCGGTTCTCAACTAAAAACCTTAATTAATTGTAATGATTTAATTGGTCAAGCGGGCCACGAAATTAGTGAAAATAATTTGAACAATTGTGGCTTCAAACATGAGAATATAACACAAATATAACCTCAGTCAGGTTATCCTATATAGTGCAATCAATCAATCTGGAAATGAGTGGTGAAATTAGACTTTTTTTGGAATTTATGTAGGATTTAAAGAGATAATGAGGGCGGGCGTCGGTGGCCGCAACGGTGTAGGCGTTGACACGGCGTTCATCACTGTAAGGTAAAGGTCCCGGGTTCGAATCCAGCAGCTCTGCATCAAACCCGACATACTTACAAATGGGATTTTTTTCAAAAACACTGACAACCCGAGGGTTGATATAACCTGTGCTGTTGAGAATTAAAAAAAAAAAAAAAAAAAAAAAAAATTCAAACCAATTGTGGTGTCTTGGCTCTGGAGTCTTGTGGAGTGGAGACGTCCTTTTAAAACCTATTTTTTAAAGGATAGGTAAAAAAAGAATAAAAAAATTCTTTTCAAAAGTTATTTATTTCATAAAACTTTATCCAATACACAAATCGCACTAGTAAATAAATACCAGTAAAATAACATACAAAAAGCATAAAAAGGTTTTTACAAATATATTTTTGAAAAAAAAGTAGTTTGTATTTAATAAATTTGGTCTACGTATGTATTTGTTATAATAATAAAGAATAAATAAATAAAAGGGCTTTGCAAGTGTGCCAGTTTACACTTTAACTCTGACCGTCGCCTGGTTCGTCAAATAAATTGACCGTTTTCTTTTTATGCGCCAAACGATCGGATTGACAAAGTTCGAGCTGGACAGGAAGGCCACGATCAAATCGCATAAGGAAATGAGGACGATGGAAATAAGCCAGATTTCGAATCGGTATTTATTCTCTGGCAGATGGATGACCAATTTGGTGTGACAAGCTGAGCCATTCTCGTCTCCCGTTTTGATAAGTAAAGTTTTAACGGATGAATTACCGACCGATGGGACTACTTCCATAACTTTCTGCTTGGTTCCCGACTCGTCCACCTTCAAGCCCTGTGGGCAAAAGACAAATTAATTAATCATTGTATAATAGGGAAATATTGATAGTTAAAGGAAACACGCTGATCGTCTCGAAAATTGATTATGACAGCTAATGCGTGAGCGACTGCAAAATGGCTAGTATAATTATCTATCGGAGTATTTGGCGGATGGCACAGCTTAAGGCAATAAGTGTGAAGTCGAGCGACGTGTCTTCCTCTGGACAAACAACTATAAGACCAAAATGTCAAAAAATTATTTAAGGAATTCCTAGCTACGGTGATATCATTAAGAATAAAAAGGTAGACAGGATGACAAAAGAGCCTCAACTGGTACTCTTCTGGATAAGTTGACCTTTGCCGTCAAGTGAAGGGAAGTACGTGTCAGTAGAGATGGATTCAGATGAAGCTTTCGTGAGTGAGTGTCAATTGAGATGGGGCCAGATGCAGAGACCGTTAGTGAGTGTCAGTTGAGATGGGTTCAGATGAAGAATCCATGAGTGACTTTAAGTTGTGATGGAGTCAAATAAAGTTTCCGTGAGTGAATGACAATTTAGATGGGGTCCGGTCAATATTCCATGAGGTTGTGTCAATTGTGATGAACCCAGATGCAGCAACTGTTAGTAAGTGTACGTTGATGATGAAGGATGAAGTTTCCGGGTGTGAGTGTAAATTGAGATGAACTCATATGCTGAGACCCATCACTGAATGTCAGTTGAAATGGGTGAGTGAGAATTATGATAGGGTTATATGAAGCTTCCGTGAGTGAGTGTCAGTTGATATGGGGTCGTTGAAGCTTCCGGGTGTAAGTGTTAATTGAGATGAACCCAGATGCTGATATCAGTTGAGATGGGGACAGATGAAGATTACATGAGTGAGTTTCAATTGGGATGGATCCAAATGCAGAGACTGTTGGTTGAGATGGGGGTCAGATTAAGATTCCGTGAGTGAGTGTCAACTGGGATGGATCCAGAAGAAGAGGCTGTTAATTATGAGAGAATCCGGTGAAGAGGCTGCGAGCGAGTGTCAGTTGAGTTGAACTCCAATTCAGTGAGTCAGCGTCAGTTGTGATGGGGTTATTTGCAGAAATTGTGAGTGATCGGAAATTGAGATGGATAATTTACGGTTTTATCTCTTAGGAGAACGTAAGAAGGAATTCTCGAATAAACCAATAAACCACACGATTTTTTAATGTAAAATCCCCTGTTTCCAACGGCCAATTCGCAATTCTTTACGACCACATCATATTGCCGTTTGTGTTATTTTAAAACTTGTAGCTTAATGAAATTTATTCAACTTACTTGAGCGGCTGATCCATCGGAATTGTCAACCCTGTAAGATGTCGTTAAGTAGACTGCCAGGTTGCCGCAGGTGACGTTGGCCTTGCCACCAATCTGTAGACGGTCGAGAATCGAAGCCTGCACAACGCACGGCATCCTCTTCTCCGGCTTTTCCGTTTTTTCCGGTTCCGGTTTCCGTTCCGTCGGAATTTTCAGTACTTTGATCCAATCCGGATCGCATTCCTTTCCACAATCGATATTCACGGTGTTCCGAAGCGGATCAGGGTTCATGTTGTAAATCACACGGCTCCGAACCTGAGACCACTCTAAAAACCAAATTCTCTGTTACAAATAAAATCTTATCTACCTGCTTGTACATACAATATTGTAAGCTCTATGTAAAATCAAAATCGTGTCCGAGGTTTCCTGCCAATGAGACCTAGGAGCCGATTTTTTCCTGACTTTATTGTGTAATTGATCAGTTGTTTTGTATTTTTACGTTGAAAAAAAAAAATGTATATATTTAGTGAGTTAGATATGTAAAAATTGCCAAAAAAAACTTTGAGTAAAAAAAGGAGAACTTTTTTTTTGCAAAATCGGATTCAGATTCTTTTTAAGCATTAAGTACTAATTTTTATAGTAAGAAATAAATAAATAAACATTTTCAGTTTGATAAGCTGGAGGCAATTTCTTTGTCTTCGGTGTCCGGCGTTTTCACTGAAAGACTGATAACTCCTCTGAATTATATCCAAATTTGTCGTTATTACAACCGTTACGAAGGAGAATATTTCTTCTTTTTTCGGATATCTCAATAATGTTTATATTGAATGCCAATAAAAGTGACTAAAATAAGAATAAAATCAACAAAAACTACTCTCCAAACGGTTTTTACCTCGGGTTTACATTTTTCACGGACCCCTGGTTTATATCGTTAGGTGTAGTTTTAGGGTTTTAAAACTGCGTAACGTTTTCTGTGAATCGGTAGAGTTGTTTCAAACCTATCGTCAATTTTGTGATTTGTGAGAAATGAAATTGTACACTTTTTTAGGCAAAAAATTTGTAAAAAAATTTATTTTTTGATTTTCGCAACTGGGGTCTGGTGTGACGTAGGGTTTAGAAAAACACTTTCTCTATCGTGCCGACGTTTCGATCTTTATTGAGATCATCTTCAGGGCCTGGGATTTATAAACATTGTTCAAATTATACAAATATTGGGTTGTCCGGAAAATAATGCAGGATTTTAAGTTTTCATTAAAAAAAATCTATATAAAATATTCTGTTTACGTTTACAGGATTACTCATTTGTATGAATGTCAACACTTATTAATCCTCTTCCAAATGATATTGTTTGTTTACCTCTGTAGCATTCCGCTACTTGGAAATAATTCAGTCATCCTTATAATGTCAAAGCGAGAATTTCGTACGATTTTCTTTTACGAGTTTAAACTCGGCCGAAGCGGAGCCCAAACATTAACCAAGTCTGGGGCGAGGGTTGTGTTAATGAGTGCACTGTGCAAAGGTGGTTTAAAAAATTTCGGGAGGGAGATTTCAGCCTTGAAGATGAAGAAGGTCGTGGAAGGCCTTCCTCTCTTAATGATGATGTTCTGCGATCAGTGGTGGAAGAAAACCCCAAAACAACTGTTCGAGAACTTGCAGAGCAACTCAAAGTCAGTAAAACGACCGTCGCTGACCACCTCAAGGCGATTGGAAAAGTGAAAAAACTCGAAAATTGGGTTCCACACTCATTAAACGATCGCCAAAAAAATCAGCGCTTTGATGTTTGTGCATCACTTCTTTGTCGAAACAAAAATGACCCATTTCTGGCCAGAATTGTTACATGTGACGAAAAGTGGATTCTCTACGATAACACTAGACGTTCTGGACAGTGGCTCGACAAAGGAGAAGCTCCAATACATTTTCCAAAGCCCCCAACTCATCAAAAAAAGGTAATGGTTACGGTATGGTGGGCTTCATTTGGTTTAATACACTACAGCTTCTTAAATCCTGGCGAAACCATCAATGCTGAATCATACTGTAACCAAATTAATACCATGCATCAGAAATTGGCAGTAATGAAGCCCTCTTTGGTCAATCGGAAAGGGCCCATTTTGTTGCATGACAACGCTCGACCACATGTGTCACGTGTAACGTCACAAAAATTATTGGAGCTTGGCTATGAAACTTTGCCTCACCCACCCTACTCTCCGGACCTCTCGCCTACTGACTACCATTTTTTTAGACACCTGGACCACTACTTACAACACATAATATTCAAAAATCAAACGGAACTGGAAAATGCATTTATTGACTTTATCAATTCTAAAAATTCTGAATTCTACTCAGACGGAATTAATAAGTTACCAACACGTTGGGAGAAATGTATTGAGAGTATGGGAAATTATTTTGATTAAAGAACATTGCTTTAAAGTAACTAGTTTCTTTTTTTTTGTTTAATACCAAAATCCTGCATTATTTTCCGGACAACCCAATAATAATAAAAAAACTCGTGTAACTAGAAAGTTCATCCTTCAAAATTCCAAAGGATAAACTAAGTTAAAAGTAAATTGGATTAAATTGTGTTAAGGATCTTCGACAGCGGATCGACAACTAATTAATTATTAATACCAATTTACTTAAAGCGTTTCTTAAACCGACAAGCCGAATTTGTCTTTACTTACTTAAGAGATTTCTGTGTTAATTAAAGAGGATAAATTGAATGATTTGCGATTTAGAAAAGAGAATAAACAACCAAGGATATTAATTTTAAAAAAATGTGTTCTGTTGAATGCTCATGTTGCAGTTGTCTACAAGTGTGCAGTTGCCATTTTCAAATTTGGAAATATTACGAGAAACAGACGAATAAGAAAGAAATTATAGGGATGGTAGTGATAGCTTCTCTTACCGATCAAAGATATCAAGAGGAGGAGAAGAGTTGGACGCATAGCTGGTTCGCCTGGGAAGAAGGAAACCGAAGAGAGCTGAACCTCGACTGGGCCCAAGTGGTTAAATGCGACTGGTTATGAAGAAAACGGTGAAAATTCCAGTCCAGCTATCGAACGAAAATGATTCACAAGTTCAGAAGTCTAAAAGTATTTAAATAAACAGAACACACTTTGTATTCGGAATTTTATCACAGTTTTTCAATAGAGTTCGAGATAAGAAACGGAGATTAAATGAAAACCCAGCTACTAGATTCCTGATGGCGACAAAAAAATTACAAAACTTTTAAAGAAAAATGTTAATGATAAAAAATCTACTCAGAATTTAGTTCGAAAGAGCATTATTTTTCTATTTAAATATACACACACACACACACACACANATATATACAGGGTGTTCGGCTACGGTGTTATAATCTTTGCCAGGAGATTCTACATTCAAAATGGACCCAAAAAGTCCTTAGTAACTATGGCCCGAATTTCAACATTTTCGGAGTTATTCCACTTTTTCTGATTTTTTAAGATTTCACGACCTTTCTTCAAATGAACAATAACTGCAAAACTAAAAGATTTTGGACAAGTCGGTTGATACCATTGAAAACTACGTTAAATGTCCAATAAGATGTGATTAAGACTAAACTTGTAAACGTTGGTGAAATAAGCGTTTTTTGTAGCGAGAACTTAAAAAATTTTTTTTTTTTCAAAGTCGAAAAACTTACTGTGGTGATCCTACTCTACTATTTCCAAACCGAGAGACCAGAAAATTTCAGAAAATGTGCTCCATTCAATATCCTTTTTAGTAGTGTAATTGATGTTTTAATTACTTTTGTCAAAGATGAAAAAATCGATGAAGGAAAGGAAAAAAACGTGATTGACGGATTGTAAATCAATAACCGTTTTCTGAATTTTTCTTGTCTCTCGGATAGAAAATAGTAGTTTAGGATCACCGTAATAAGTTTTTCAACTAAAAAAAAAAATATTTTTCAAAATTCTGGCTACTTTTTTCACCAACAACTTTTGTCTTGATCACTTCTTATTGGAAATTGAACCAAATTTTCAATGGTATCAACAGATTTGTCCAAAACCATTTATTTTTGGAGTTATCATCGTTTATTTGAAGCAAGGTTGTGAAATATTAAAAAAATCAGAAAAAGAGAGAGAATAACTCCGAAACCGTTGACATTCAGACCATAGTTAATTAGGACATTTTGGTTTAATTTGAAAGTAGAATCTACTGGCAAAGTTTGTAACATGAGTAGCCGAACACCCTATACATAGTACGCAGGGTGGGCGACCAAGACCCGAGGGGTTAAATGACTGGGTAGACTCGTACCCCATCCCTAAAAGGTCCGGGACTTGGTCGGCTCACGTGTCCTGCATAAATCTCTTGGACTTGTTCACAAACCCGGTTGGTGATGTCCGCTCCTTCAAAGATTTCAAATCTAGGCCTACATACCTATCACAATCTGTGAGGTAGTGCCTTGCCGTTCCTTCTTTTATTTCGCAAAAACGGCAAAAGGGATCTGGTAGAATACCCATTACGGAGAGGTGTCTTCTCAGTGGGCAGTGGCCCGTCAGGATACCTATCAACTTCCTAATTCCCTTCCTTGAGATAGAAAATACCCATTTCGATTCTTCTGGTTTGATCTCCTTAACAAACTCTTTTGATTGCCTGTGTCCGGGGGATAAATTCCACTACCTAAGGAATTGTTTCATGCCCCAGTTATTAATACTCTCTTTCGCTGTGCTCATAGAGTGAGGTAATACCGGCTGTAGCCCGATAAACGCAGTATTAGAGCCTTCTTTGGCCAGGTCATCCCCCTCTTCATTGCTATGGTGTCCTTTAAGTGCTGGTATCCAAATAAGGATTACCTTGTTCTCAAACCTGAAGAGATCCTCTACAGAGTAGAGATAATCTACAGTTTTCTCCACCAGAGTCTAGAGGTCGATAAATATTTTTGTAATGACCTAAGACTAGCCTGACTGTTAGAAAAAAATCTAATATCCTTTCCCTTAATTTTATTTTCCAAGTGTTCTACAACACACATTAATGGCCCAAATTTCCGCATCATAAACGGAGGTGTTATTGCCAAGAGGGGAGGAGACGCCCATTCCTAATTTAGGTATGTAGATTCCTCCTGCACCACTCCCTCTAACTTTGATAAGTGAACCATCTGTGTAGCAGTCTATGTTGCGATGGTCATCATCCAAACTATAATTATATTCACAAGGGGTACTACCTGAACGTACTTATTCCCCGAAGGGGTTTTAATCTTTTGATCACTAACGCTTAATAATTGGCCGTTAACCTTACTCTAGTTGTATACATATTATATTATTTTGTAATAACATATAATATAATATGTTTTTACAAATGTGTATAAGCTCAATTCTGCCCTTATATGCACTCGTGTACATACTGGTACAGAACCGTGCTTAAGATTTTTCGAGGCTGGCCACGAGAATCACCCACTTCGTTGTTTTGGAGAAGCACTTGTGGATATTTGTCCATCACACTTTATGCGTATTGACAAGTATACTTACAATTCAAATTGAACGGAATACTTATTATTAACCAATTGTTGTATGGACCTATGTTTTTGGCAACTGGGTCGAAATGCGGTATGCCGTAAAATGGTTCAGGTCCGATTGGTGCCATGCGATTCCTTATCGAAGTTTGGCCAATTTATGAGCAAACCAGTCTCAAGATACCAAAGAAGACGAAAAAAAATGTCCCGTCGCATAGCATGATGGGCCTTGTAAGAAGCAACACCCGACTGACCATAATGTAAAATCGACATCACCATGATGATGAGGATACTAGGAAGAAGGGTTTAGGCGATCCCAATCACTGCAGCATTTTGGTTCATTTTACTTACTTCTATGCCTGGCACCTCTGAGGTGGGTTACCATCTCCTTTTGTCTTTTTTGGATCTATTTAGAGATGGAGGAGTTATGTTACGGTTGATTACGGTTACCTACGGTTGATCTTGTTATCCGGATTGTGGTTCTGGGCTTATTACTGGTCTTGAAGTCATCTGGCCAGTATGTCTCCTTGATCATTGCCTTTGTTATTTCCATTGTTGTTTGTCCATGTGAGCCTAGTTTCTTTTATTGATTGTTATACTTCTAATTTATTGGTGTGCTCTCTGGGAGCGTCCTTTTTATGTATCCACCAGTTTTGACTCTGATTGCCTTAGGATAAGGATGTCTTCACTTGCTTCCCCTCCTATCTTTTAGGTGATAAGCCCTCTTCTTTTTTCCTACTTTTTCTTCAGTGTAGTATTCTTAATTATAATAATATGAACGATCTGTATAATTATAATACTCCAATTCTGAATAGTTATTAGAGAGAATTTGACTGAACAATTTTGTTTAGGTTTGAAATCGTGAGTCAAAATTCTTATCGCAGCATTAATTAAGCATTGATTGAGATAAAAAGGAACCAATCGGTTGAAAATAAATAATTTTGTTGAAAGAATAAGAATTTCCATCAAATCATTTGAGAAGAGAACAAAAGACTAAATAAATTGAAACTTAATACGAAGTTAATTTCAGGCTTTAGACTGATTCACATCCTACAATTAATTTCATATAAATTTAATGTATACTGATGTCACAAATTTTTTAAATTAACGAACCATTAAATAAAATTTTTTACAATTTTAATTATTAGATGCGCAATTTTTAGTTTCAAATTAACCCTTTCTATAAAGCATTAAAAAAAGGGATTTTAATAGAAAATAATTGGGCTCTTACAATTCAACTAGAAATATATAAAATTACGTATAAAAGTAAAGGATTCTTTTTTAAATTGTGTTCTTAAAGAAAATTATATATGGTTTTTATATAAAATACCTAACATAATTTTTATTTTAAATACTTTTCATATGGTCTTCCAAGATATAAATTCTTTTTAAATTTACAAAAAATATCATATACTCAGGAATTTTACTTTACATACAGAAATTTCATACCATCTCCATGCTTTTATAATACTTACAAAAAATGAATTTGAATAAAAAAAAATAATTTGAAATTAGAAGGAGTTAATTTAATGAAGAAAAGCTATCTACGTCTCTGTTTTAAGCCGAGTGTACCGAAATGTTACAAGATTAGAAAAAACAAACATTTTTGTTTCAGAAAAAGGATACTTAACAGGGCTGATGAACTAGGACAAATGTAGTTATTTTAGGTGAACTTTGAAACACTGAAATTTTAGTTTACATGCTTATATTTCCTACTATCTCTTAAGTTGTTTTAATAATGTAAAGAAGGGGTAAATTTGAAATTAAAAAGGGCTCATTTAAAATTAAAAAGGTATAATTTGAAGTAAAAAGAGTTTAATTTTAAGTGGAACATGGTTAATTTAAATTAAAAAAGGGTAAGTTTGACGGAAAAATCCATAAAATGAAATGTTGCTAGATTAGAAAGAACAAACATCTTTATTTCAATAAAAAAAGGCTGATGAACTAGGATAAATGTAGTTATTTTGGGTGAACATTGAAATACTGGATTTTAGTTTACATACTTATATTTCCTACCATCTCTTAAGTGTTTTTAATAATTTAAAGAAGGGGTAAATTTGAAATTAAAAAGGGCTCATATAAAATTAAAAAGGTATAATTTGAAGAAAAAAGAGTTTAATTTTAAGTGGAAAAGGGTTAATTTGAATTAAAAAAAGGTAAGTTCGTCGGAAAAATCCATGATTGTTATTATAATTAATTTTCATTACATTTTTGTGTCGTATGTTAATAAGAACCCATGATATATGCATAAAAAATGTCTCAAATTGAAATAAGAATCCTTTATTTCTATTTTTTATTTTAAAGAAAGAAACTGAAGAAACAAAGGAATCTTCTTTTAATTGGAGAATTTAAAAAAAATAAAATAAAATTGGTTCCTATCTAAAATACCACACGCAAAAAATAAGTACATTAAGAATATATATGAAATTAAATACAAAAACACGAGTCTTCTGTTAATTCGAGATTTAAATAAATGAATTAATTAATTTATATAACTAGTCAAAAATAAATTAAATTGTTTTTATTTTAACATTTAATTATATATATACAGGGTGAATTGCTACTCGTGCTACAAACTTCTCC